GTGATGGGGGAGGGGGAGGGGGATTGCATGTCCTCTGGTGATGGGGGAGGGGGAGGGGGATTGCATGTCCTCTGGTGATGGGGGAGGGGGAGGGGGATTGCATGTCCTCTGGTGATGGGGGAGGGGGAGGGGGATTGCATGTCCTCTGGTGATGGGGGAGGGGGAGGGGGATTGCATGTCCTCTGGTGATGGGGGAGGGGGAGGGGGGGATTGCATGTCCTCTGGTGATGGGGGAGGGGAGGGGGATTGCATGTCCTCTGGTGATGGGGGAGGGGGAGGGGGGGATGGCATGTCCTCTGGTGATGGGGGAGGGGGAGGGGGATTGCATGTCCTCTGGTGATGGGGGAGGGGGAGGGGGATTGCATGTCCTCTGGTGATGGGGGAGGGGGGAGGGGGGGATTGCATGTCCTCTGGTGATGGGGGAGGGGGAGGGGGATTGCATGTCCTCTGGTGATGGGGGAGGGGGAGGGGGATTGCATGTCCTCTGGTGATGGGGGAGGGGGAAGGGGGATTGCATGTCCTCTGGTGATGGGGGAGGGGGAGGGGGATTGCATGTCCTCTGGTGATGGGGGAGGGGGGAGGGGGATTGCATGTCCTCTGGTGATGGGGGAGGGGGAGGGGGATTGCATGTCCTCTGGTGATGGGGGAGGGGGAGGGGGATTGCATGTCCTGGTGATGGGGGAGGGGGAGGGGGATTGCATGTCCTCTGGTGATGGGGGAGGGGGAGGGGGATTGCATGTCCTCTGGTGATGGGGGAGGGGGAGGGGGATTGCATGTCCTCTGGTGATGGGGGAGGGGGAGGGGGATTGCATGTCCTCTGGTGATGGGGGAGGGGGAGGGGGATTGCATGTCCTCTGGTGATGGGGGAGGGGGAGGGGGATTGCATGTCCTCTGGTGATGGGGGAGGGGGAGGGGGATTGCATGTCCTCTGGTGATGGGGGAGGGGGAGGGGGATTGCATGTCCTCTGGTGATGGGGGAGGGGGAGGGGGATTGCATGTCCTCTGGTGATGGGGGAGGGGGAGGGGGATTGCATGTCCTCTGGTGATGGGGGAGGGGGAGGGGGATTGCATGTCCTCTGGTGATGGGGAGGGGGGGAGGGGATTGCATGTCCTCTGGTGATGGGGGAGGGGGAGGGGGATTGCATGTCCTCTGGTGATGGGGGAGGGGGAGGGGGATTGCATGTCCTCTGGTGATGGGGGAGGGGGAGGGGGATTGCATGTCCTCTGGTGATGGGGGAGGGGGAGGGGGATTGCATGTCCTCTGGTGATGGGGGAGGGGGAGGGGGATTGCATGTCCTCTGGTGATGGGGGAGGGGGAGGGGGATTGCATGTCCTCTGGTGATGGGGGAGGGGGAGGGGGATTGCATGTCCTCTGGTGATGGGGGAGGGGGAGGGGGATTGCATGTCCTCTGGTGATGGGGGAGGGGGAGGGGGATTGCATGTCCTCTGGTGATGGGGGAGGGGGAGGGGGATTGCATGTCCTCTGGTGATGGGGGAGGGGGAGGGGGATTGCATGTCCTCTGGTGATGGGGGAGGGGGAGGGGGATTGCATGTCCTCTGGTGATGGGGGAGGGGGAGGGGGATTGCATGTCCTCTGGTGATGGGGGAGGGGGAGGGGGATTGCATGTCCTCTGGTGATGGGGGAGGGGGAGGGGGATTGCATGTCCTCTGGTGATGGGGGAGGGGGAGGGGGATTGCATGTCCTCTGGTGATGGGGGAGGGGGAGGGGGATTGCATGTCCTCTGGTGATGGGGGAGGGGGAGGGGGATTGCATGTCCTCTGGTGATGGGGGAGGGGGAGGGGGATTGCATGTCCTCTGGTGATGGGGGAGGGGGAGGGGGATTGCATGTCCTCTGGTGATGGGGGAGGGGGAGGGGGATTGCATGTCCTCTGGTGATGGGGGAGGGGGAGGGGGATTGCATGTCCTCTGGTGATGGGGGAGGGGGAGGGGGATTGCATGTCCTCTGGTGATGGGGGAGGGGGAGGGGGATTGCATGTCCTCTGGTGATGGGGGAGGGGGAGGGGGATTGCATGTCCTCTGGTGATGGGGGAGGGGGAGGGGGATTGCATGTCCTCTGGTGATGGGGGAGGGGGAGGGGGATTGCATGTCCTCTGGTGATGGGGGAGGGGGAGGGGGATTGCATGTCCTCTGGTGATGGGGGAGGGGGAGGGGGATTGCATGTCCTCTGGTGATGGGGGAGGGGGAGGGGGATTGCATGTCCTCTGGTGATGGGGGAGGGGGAGGGGGATTGCATGTCCTCTGGTGATGGGGGAGGGGGAGGGGGATTGCATGTCCTCTGGTGATGGGGGAGGGGGAGGGGGATTGCATGTCCTCTGGTGATGGGGGAGGGGAGGGGGATTGCATGTCCTCTGGTGATGGGGGAGGGGGAGGGGGATTGCATGTCCTCTGGTGATGGGGGAGGGGGAGGGGGATTGCATGTCCTCTGGTGATGGGGGAGGGGGAGGGGGATTGCATGTCCTCTGGTGATGGGGGAGGGGGAGGGGGATTGCATGTCCTCTGGTGATGGGGGAGGGGGAGGGGGATTGCATGTCCTCTGGTGATGGGGGAGGGGGAGGGGGATTGCATGTCCTCTGGTGATGGGGGAGGGGGAGGGGGATTGCATGTCCTCTGGTGATGGGGGAGGGGGAGGGGGATTGCATGTCCTCTGGTGATGGGGGAGGGGGAGGGGGATTGCATGTCCTCTGGTGATGGGGGAGGGGGAGGGGGATTGCATGTCCTCTGGTGATGGGGGAGGGGGAGGGGGATTGCATGTCCTCTGGTGATGGGGGGAGGGGGAGGGGGGGGATTGCATGTCCTCTGGTGATGGGGGAGGGGGAGGGGGATTGCATGTCCTCTGGTGATGGGGGAGGGGGAGGGGGATTGCATGTCCTCTGGTGATGGGGGAGGGGGAGGGGGATTGCATGTCCTCTGGTGATGGGGGAGGGGGAGGGGGATTGCATGTCCTCTGGTGATGGGGGAGGGGGAGGGGGATTGCATGTCCTCTGGTGATGGGGGAGGGGGAGGGGGATTGCATGTCCTCTGGTGATGGGGGAGGGGGAGGGGGATTGCATGTCCTCTGGTGATGGGGGAGGGGGAGGGGGATTGCATGTCCTCTGGTGATGGGGGAGGGGGAGGGGGATTGCATGTCCTCTGGTGATGGGGGAGGGGGAGGAGGGGGATTGCATGTCCTCTGGTGATGGGGGAGGGGGAGGGGGATTGCATGTCCTCTGGTGATGGGGGAGGGGGAGGGGGATTGCATGTCCTCTGGTGATGGGGGAGGGGGAGGGGGATTGCATGTCCTCTGGTGATGGGGGAGGGGGAGGGGGATTGCATGTCCTCTGGTGATGGGGGAGGGGGAGGGGGATTGCATGTCCTCTGGTGATGGGGGAGGGGGAGGGGGATTGCATGTCCTCTGGTGATGGGGGAGGGGGAGGGGGATTGCATGTCCTCTGGTGATGGGGGAGGGGGAGGGGGATTGCATGTCCTCTGGTGATGGGGGAGGGGGAGGGGGATTGCATGTCCTCTGGTGATGGGGGAGGGGGAGGGGGATTGCATGTCCTCTGGTGATGGGGGAGGGGGAGGGGGATTGCATGTCCTCTGGTGATGGGGGAGGGGGAGGGGGATTGCATGTCCTCTGGTGATGGGGGAGGGGGAGGGGGATTGCATGTCCTCTGGTGATGGGGGAGGGGGAGGGGGATTGCATGTCCTCTGGTGATGGGGGAGGGGGAGGGGGATTGCATGTCCTCTGGTGATGGGGGAGGGGGAGGGGGATTGCATGTCCTCTGGTGATGGGGGAGGGGGAGGGGGATTGCATGTCCTCTGGTGATGGGGGAGGGGGAGGGGGATTGCATGTCCTCTGGTGATGGGGGAGGGGGAGGGGGATTGCATGTCCTCTGGTGATGGGGGAGGGGGAGGGGGATTGCATGTCCTCTGGTGATGGGGGAGGGGGAGGGGGATTGCATGTCCTCTGGTGATGGGGGAGGGGGAGGGGGATTGCATGTCCTCTGGTGATGGGGGAGGGGGAGGGGGATTGCATGTCCTCTGGTGATGGGGGAGGGGGAGGGGGATTGCATGTCCTCTGGTGATGGGGGAGGGGGAGGGGGATTGCATGTCCTCTGGTGATGGGGGAGGGGGAGGGGGATTGCATGTCCTCTGGTGATGGGGGAGGGGGAGGGGGATTGCATGTCCTCTGGTGATGGGGGAGGGGGAGGGGGATTGCATGTCCTCTGGTGATGGGGGAGGGGGAGGGGGATTGCATGTCCTCTGGTGATGGGGGAGGGGGAGGGGGATTGCATGTCCTCTGGTGATGGGGGGAGGGGGAGGGGGATTGCATGTCCTCTGGTGATGGGGGAGGGGGAGGGGGATTGCATGTCCTCTGGTGATGGGGGAGGGGAGGGGGATTGCATGTCCTTCTGGTGATGTGGAGGGGGAGGGGGATTGCATGTCCTCTGGTGATGGGGGAGGGGGAGGGGGATTGCATGTCCTCTGGTGATGGGGGAGGGGGGGGGGGATTGCATGTCCTCTGTCCTCTACCTATCCTATACTGCAAGCAGGTGAGCGTGCAGCAAGACAGCTACGCATATGCCACTTGCACACGCAGGTGACTACAGTGCAGAGACGGTACAGTGCAATTGGGGTTTCACGGGAGTCGGCAGCATACAGCAGCTCCTGCTCCAGGAACATGTAGATGACCTGCATCTGCAGCTGCAGCGCGGCTAGGGCAGCTGGACGTTCGTCAGGTGAGCACATAGATGCTACCTATCCTCAAGGCACCCATACATGGCACTCATGGGAGTCGGCAGCATACAGCAACTCCTGCTCTAGGAACATGTAAATGACCTGCATCTGCAGCGTGCGATATGTAGAACAAGTACAGGCAGCTGACTACTGCAGGCATCTCAGATAGACACTCACGGGAGTCAGCTGCAAACAGCAGCTCCTGCTCCAGGAACATGTAGATGACCTGCATCTGCAGCTGCAGCGTGCGCACTGCTAGCTCCTTTCGTAGCTCGTTCACCTGCATGGATGGAGGGGTGGATGGGTAGGTGGGTGGGACCGTGGGAGTGGGGTGCAGCACAAGGGATGGGAGTTATGCGCGGAGTGATGTGTTCTCTTGAATCTGCAGCTGCAGCGTGCGCACTGCCAATTCCTTTCCCAGCTCGTTCACCTACATGCACAGAGGGGGTGGATGGATGGGGTGCACGGTCAGTGTTGTGGGTGGGACGGGGGTTACGGGTGCAGGGAAGCATGCTGCATCTGCAGCTGCAGTGTGCGCACTGCTAGCTCCTTTCCCAGCTCGTTCACCTGCATGGACAGGGATGGGTGGACGGATGGGCGGATGGGCGGATGGTGGGTGGTAGGTGGTGGGTGGTGGTGGTGCATGGTGCATGGCGCATGGTGCATGGTGCATGGTGCATGGTGCATAGTGCACGGCGCATGGTGCATGACGCATGGTGCATGGTGCATGGTGCATAGTGCACGGCGCATGGTGCATGGTGCATGGTGCATGGTGCATAGTGCACGGCGCATGGTGCATGACGCATGGTGCATGGTGCATGGTGCATAGTGCACGGCGCATGGTGCATGGTGCATGGTGCATGGTGCATAGTGCACGGCGCATGGTGCATGGTGCATGGTGCATAGTGCACGGCGCATGGTGCATGGTGCATGGTGCATGGTGCATAGTGCACGGCGCATGGTGCATGGTGCATGGTGCATGGTGCATGGTGCATGGTGCATGGTGCATGGTGCACGGCGCATGGTGCATGGTGCATGGTGCATGGTGCATGGCATCATCTGACACATCCTTGCAAGCTTTCATCTCCTCGCCAGATATTGAGATCGTTTAACCACTTTCTTTTTTACATATGCTGGAGTCACTCTAACAAAATCCCCTCACCCTACACAGTTACAGTTCAAGAAAATTCTTATTGCCCAAAATTGAATCATTTTCAGCGAATTCCCCTTGCTGTGTATTGCAGTTAACCATCAGCTTCGCGCAACATTGGAATCTCTACTGAGATCATGCACTCTCCTCTGCCTCGCGCGCTGCTCCCTGACTAGGTTCACACACCATCGGGTGAATGGATAACCATACCACGTCACGTGCACACCAAGTCAAGTTAACCAATCACATGCCTGTGCATGCATCACCACGTGCGTGCTTTTACCTCCCTGCATAATCTCGCCCGCACAAGCACTCTCTGGCCCAGCCTCAGCCACAGTTGCGTGATTTCTCACGGCCTGTCTTTGGCTGTCCCAGAAGCTCACCTCATCATCCAGCGCCTTGATTTCTCGAGCAAGCCTGACCATCACGAGCACGTTTCTCTGCTCACAGCCACAGCTGCTGTGTGAATACTCACAGAGACGACTCGCCAACTGCCTGTACGAAAGAGCCAGCTCACCTCATCATCCAGTGCTTTGATCTCCCGGGCAAGTCTCGCCCTCACAAGCACGTTCCTCTGCCGCAGCCGCTGCTCCCTGCTGCGAATGGCCTCATTCAGCCGCTTGTCCAGGGCCTCAACCTGACAGGAAGGAGTTGAGAGAGGGGAGAGAGAAGGGAAGAGAGAGAAGGGAAGAGATAGAAGGCAGGAAAGGGGGAGTCGCACAAGAAGAGGGAGTTGGGAAGGGCCGAGAGGGATGAGAGGAGACGGAAGGGGGTCAGGGACCCAGCTTATCAAGCCGCTGCTCCCTGTTGCGCATGGCCTCGTTCAGCCTTTTGAGGCGCCTCAAAAGTCGTCTGTTGCGCATGGCCTCGTTCAGCCGCTTCACTAAGGCCTCCACTTTGGAGGGGAGAGTTGAAGGAGGGGAGAGACGCAGGGGAAGAGGAAGGAAAAGGGGGGAGAGAGAAAGAGAGAGTCAGAGCAGAGGGACGAGGGGAGGAGAAGAAGAGGGGGAACAGACACGGGGACACAGGGCGGGGCAGGGCAGCAGCACGGGTGTCAGGATCTTCAACTCTGTGGTTCTTAGAGGCATACGCATTGTAACCACATCATAATGTCAGCAGCACCTGTGGTTACCATGCGTACGCCTCTAAGAACAAGCGTACCTCCAGCGGCAGCTTGAGCTTCTTCTCCTCCTCCCTGTCACCGGTTGGTTCGGGCCGAGGCAGCCAGGATGACAGGGGCTCCAGCCCCGTCTCGTACGCTAATGTCATCTGGTAACCACATCACTGCTCACCTCCAGCAGCAGCTTGAGCTTCTTCTCCTCCTCCTTGTCTCCCGTTGAGTCAGGGCGGGGCAGCCCGGACGCCAGAGGCTCCAGCTCCGTGGTGCTTCAAGCCGTACCTGGTAGCCACCTAACCATAATATCACAAATCTAGCACCTCGTACCTCCAGCAGCAGCTTGAGCTTCTTCTCCTCCTCCTTTTCGCCTGTTGCATCGGGTCGGGGAAGGCCTGACGCCAGGGGCTCGAGCTCTGTGGTGCTTGGATACGCACCTGGTGGTAACCATGTAACACATCTAGCACCTCGTACCTCCAGCAGAAGCTTGAGCTTCTTCTCCTCCTCTTTATCGCCCGTTGAAATGGGCCGGGGCAGGCCAGACGCCAGGGGCTCCAGCTCCGTGGTGCTTCAAGCCGTACCTGGTAGCCACCTAACCATAATATCACAAATCTAGCACCTCGTACCTCCAGCAGCAGCTTGAGCTTCTTCTCCTCCTCCTTTTCGCCTGTTGCATCGGGTCGGGGAAGGCCTGACGCCAGGGGCTCGAGCTCTGTGGTGCTTGGATACGCACCTGGTGGTAACCATGTAACACATCTAGCACCTCGTACCTCCAGCAGAAGCTTGAGCTTCTTCTCCTCCTCTTTATCGCCCGTTGAAATGGGCCGGGGCAGGCCAGATGCCAGGGGCTCCAGCTCCGTGGTGGGCGGGCGGCCATTCAAACGCCGCCACGTGTCCACCAGTGTACGCACCGCCTTCCCTCCCGCCTGGAACAAGACACGCAGGGGGTGGGGGAGAGAAACAAAGGCAAGGAGGTGAGGGGGCAGAAGGAAAGAGAGAGCCACAGGTCCTGAACCAATGAGCTAAGCACTACAATGCATTGCTTCCATCCGCGTGCACAATGAAGCACAATGTAGTACGGTGCAACACGGTGCAACACGGTGCAACACGGTGCATCACTGCAGCATACCCAACGAGCACACTAACGCTATTCGACGCGTGACAGTGTAAGTCGCCAGACCACTAAGTGCAGGTTTGAGTCGCCAGACCATAAGTGCCAGTTTGAGTCACCAGACCACTATGTGCCAGTTTGAGTCGCCAGACCACGAAGTGCCAGTTTGAGTCGTCAGACCACTAAGTGCCCGTGTGAGTCGCCAGTGTAAATCTTCATACCACGACGTGTCAGTGCAAGTCGTCAGACTACTAAATAGCTCAAACCTTACATGGTGGGCAGGTCGATGCTGAAGTCCCAAAACGAGAGAAGCCAACAGACAGACACTATCCTTTGCCTCAACCTCTCCCACCTGGCAACCTGTGTTGGGTTTCGAGATCTCTCTGGTCTCTCAACGCCTCTCAACGCCTCTCAAGCCTATTGTTTCGTCTCAAAGCTCGCTCACCCCTTTGATGGTGGGCACGGTCGATGCTCAAGTCCCCAGACGAGATGTCCACCGATGCTATCCTCTGCCTCATCCTCTCCAGAATGACTTGAGCCCTCAATAGCCTTCGCCTCTGAGTCCTCTCAAGCCTTCTCCTGAGACATGTTTAAACATCCGCTCACCCCTTTGATGGTGGGCAGGTCGATGCTGAAATCCCCGAATGAGATGTCTACAGATACTATCCTCTGCCCTCTGCCACTCCCTTTCCAGAACGGAGCTCGTGTTGGGTTCTGAACCTTTTCAAGACGTTCCAATCCTCTCAAGCATTGTATGACATCTCAAGGCTCGCTCTTCTCAAGGCTCGCTCACCCCTTTGATGGTGGGCAGGTCGATGCTGAAATCCCCAAACGAGATGTCCACCGATGCTATCCTCTGTCTGACACGGTCCAGAATGGCGCTCGTGTTGAGAATCCAGACATCTCAAGCCTTTTAAAGCCTCTCAAGCCCATTGAGTCGAATCGAAGCTCGCTCACCCCTTTGATGGTGGGCAGGTCGATGCTCAAGTCCCCAAATGAGATGTCCACCGACGCTATCCTCTGCCTGACACGATCCAGAATGGCGCTCGTGTTGGACAGCCCGCCCAGGCGCCGCAGCACCCGCTCCTGGTGGGGCAAGGGAAAGGGGGAGAGAAGAAGAGGGGGGAAAGCGGCAGTGCAAGGGGGAAAGGTTAGTGAGGTTAGTATGAGGTTAGTATGAGGTTAGTATGAGGTTAGTATGAGGTTAGTATGAGGTTAGTATGAGGTTAGTAAGGGTCTCGAAACTCCAGAATGGTGCTCGTTTTAAACAGCCCGCCCAGGCGCCGCAGCACTCGCTCATGGTGGGGAAGGGGTGCCGGAGAGGGAAGAGGGGGAGAAGGGAAGTTGGAAAGGAAAAGGAAACGAGATTGGAGAAATTCCCCCTTTCATCACCCCTCACCTCCAGGTTGGCCTTTCACCACCCCGCACCGCTCATCACCCATCACCTGCACGTTCGGACGTCACATTCATCACAGCTGCACACCCCCTTACAAATTCATCTTTTAGTTCACATCACATCCCCTTACCTGTAAGTTCACCCTCTCACCACACCTCACCGTTCACCACCCCTCGCCTGCACGTTGTTCGCCTCCTTATTCATCTGCTCCTGCGGAGCCTGCGCCTCCAATTCCTCCTCCACCTCTCAGTGACTTGCGCATCAACAAGCTGTAAGTTCACATCCCACCACCCCTCACCCTCAAGCAGCCCCTCTCACCACCCCTCATCACCACTCCTAACCTACCACGTTCAACCCCTCACCGGCTCGTTTGCCTCCTTGTCCATCTGCTCCTGCAGCGCCTGCGCCTCCAGCTCCTCCACCTCGCACTGACTTCCGCATAGACGAATTTGTGAATTCACACCCTCCCACCACCCCTCACCGGCAAGCACCCCCTCTCACCACCCCTCACCTGCACGTTCGCCTCCTTGTCCATCTGTTCCTGCAGTGCCTGCGCCTCCAGCTCCTCCTCCACCTCGCGCCGCTGCTCCGCGGACAGCGACGCCTCGATTCGATCCGCCAGCTCCTCGAGCCGCTGCGCGAGTGTGCGCACCACGTCCGCCACGCCCTCCGCGGCCTTGGTTTCTTCCTGTGACAATAACGGGGATGACAGAACGTGACAATGGGGGAAGGGGAAGGGGAAGGGGGGAAATAACTTCTCCAGCCGTTGTGAGAGTGTTGTTATAACGTCGGGAACGCCTTCAGCGTTCTTTTTTGTGCTGAGAACGGGGTTGACAAGACGTTGCGACAGCGTCGTCGCAACGAAACGCAACTCCCTCAGAAGGTTTGTCAACTTTCTGGGACTAAAACGGGAGTGAATGACGAGAACGAGAAAGGACGAGACGAAAACACGAGTTCACGAAAGGAGAGCGTACGAAGCGTGGGTTGACCCACAACAGACCAAAAAAAAAACGAGTAGAGTGAAGCCAAGAGCACGCAGACTCCCTTGGTGACCTACCGGGAAAACGGCGGGCAGCTGCCCGTGAAAGAAGTTTAGGTCGCGAGTCAGCGAGCCGGCGAGCGCGCGGACGTCCGCAGCGCAGCCAAGCACCTCGAGCGCGCTTTCCACCACTAAGATAGGCTTATCCTCCCCCTCGCCCTTCCGCTCCGCCACACCCAGCCCGCGGCGGATCCAGTAGTTCGCTCCGCGCCGCACCTTCCGCCGCGCTTTAAGCTCCTGCGTGCCTTCCCGCTTCTTCGCTATAACGGGTATGGGCATGTTGAGCACGCGTTCGGACCGGTTCGCGTCGCGGTAAAGCCGCCGGAGAAGCATGAGGACCTCGAGCCGCTGCAGCCGTTCGTTGACTTCGGCTGCCACGTCAGCGCTGACGAGGCTATCGCGAGCCGCCTCCGCGTCTGACGTGGAAACATCTGACCGTGACACGGTTTCGACTAAAGCTAGCGCACCGTTCAAGCTCTTCGAATCTGAAACGGCGACGTTACCGGCGCCGTCACTTTCGTTTTCGGCGACGTCTCCGCCAGCGGCTCGCGCATTCGCACGAACAGATCGACTTCCTTTGCGAGTATCGAGCCAGCCATTATCGGGTACAAACGAAACCACTAGAACGCAAGGCAACGGCTCTGCAGGGACGAAGGACGCACGGTCCGGTCTCTCGGAGCTGGAACGAGCAGCGACCAATGTCGAGTGTGATACTAACGAGGTGGATTTGCGTGAAAGGGAATTGGTCCGCAGCAGCACTTGCTGCGGTCCTTTCAGAAGCTTAGAGCTTCCCGTGAAAAAACCACCATGAGAAAAACTTGGCGAAGCGTCCCTCGCCAGGGACACGGAACGTGTCAATGGGATCGCCATGGCTACGCTGGCGGCTGACGACGTTCGCAAACACACAACGTTAACAACACCAGAAGGATCGCGAGGACTGACCAGGCCCTGAGCAGTCTGCAATGGTGTCGAGATTCCCAGTAGTGTACGGAAAACTGGTGCCAGAGAAATGCTCAGTGCACAACGTTGAAGGATCCGTTGGGAGAACAAAAGATTCCTCTCTTGAGCCCAGGCTGGGTAAGCTCGAGAGATTCTTTCTAGCGGGCTGCGAGGGAGGCCACACACACTGGAGGAATAAAGATGCTTCGGTTGACAGAGACGGGAAAGGGTCATGAGAGGAGACGGAACGGAACGGATTGGACGGGATGACTGCTCTTGGCCAATCCCATCTCGCACGCCGCGGTTTTGGGCCAGGGGGGGCAGGGACATGCAAACTTCAAGCTCCCACCATAGACGAATTTGCTGGTTGGGGCAGGCTGAAATGATTTGTATTGGTCGTGTATCGACGGTTCGAGAATCGGAACTAGGAAGATTTGTGAAGCTTGATTTGCACCAGCAGCCTTCACGCATTCCCTAGGTTCAGCAGAGTTTGATTGGAAGCACATCTGTGCTGTTAGCGAAGCACGAGAGATGAGTGGTACACGCTTCGCGCTAGCGTGGCAGCGACCTGGAGAAACCATGATCCAGAGCAGATGAGATCACGAATCGTTGGGCAGATTCGCCACGTGGACTTCGCCCAGTGATACGAGAAGTCTGTCCTCCGTGGGTGTGCTCCTTGCCAGAAGCCTCGAACGCTGGGGACCTTGTGCCAAGCTGCCCACATCGGTTTGTTCCTGCCACGCTTGATTACCTGGAATTACGGGTTGTTATGGCGGATTCTCGTAATCGCTCACAAACTGCAGCTGAGTGTTTCTGCTGGTGTTACGGGTGCAATGAATCGAGGTAGCGAGGATTGCACTAGAGTGTTCAATGAGTACCAAATATGAGCTAAGGCATGAGCGAGAATACTTATACGCGAAAATGTGCAAACGGTAATGCGGTGTGTGCGAGCTAGCTAGTGCTACGCTGACGTGAGGTTCGGGCTAGTCCCGAAGCGTAGGCCGACTCGGCTGCTCCAGCAGTGCGAGGTTTGGTGAATCAGTGCGCGCGATGTTGGCGAAGCCCCATTAGCAGTAACGGGCGAACAACGGCTGGTGCTGTACGCGATGTGGATGGTCGCGGTAAGGAATAGCGAGAAAATTCCTTACACTACCCCCCACCCCCCCCTCAAGAAGCCCCCTCCGCTACGCGAGTGCGTGTATATTGCGGAAACCCCGGCTCCTCAGGTACACTTACAGGGCAGGGTGGTTTTCGATGTCGGCCAGGGGCACCCAGCTATCCCCAGTTGGCGTGCGGTCCTTCCAGCGAACGAGGAACTCGGTCCTCTTGATGCCTGTGGGGTGACGAATCCGATGGCTCAGATTTTTTTCGGGCTCGATGATCAGCTCCGATGCAGGGCGATTCATGGATGGCGGGCGGTGATGAGGCAGATGGCTCGTGCTTGGGATATAAGGGCGAAGCAGGCTGACGTGGAATGATGGGCTGATGTACCAGTCTGTCGGCAGCAGTTAGTGGGCAGTAATTGGGGTGATCATATGGCTGATTTGAAATGGTCCTCAGTAGTGCGGTCGTAATTTCGGTGCGACGGGCAGTCTTAAGTTCTGTGTGTCGAGCAGTACGCAATCCCCTGATTGGTACGTGACTGGGCGGCGGTGGCGGTCAGTGTTGCGTTTAGCGATGACGTTGGCTTTTTTAATTGCTTATGCGGCTCTGGTGCGGGCAGCTTGCAGAATCTCGGCGAATTGCTGTGCTCGTGGCGTTGGGTATTCCAAACTCGGCGTCATGGGCACTGTTGGGTTTTGCCCGTAGTTCAGGTAAAACGGGGACTGCTGCGTCGTCGCTGATGTGGCGTTGTTGTACGCGAACTCGATCAGCGGCAGCTGCTGCTCCCAAGTTGTCGGGTCGTCGCACGTGGCCCGAATCAACTGCTTCACCGTCTGATTGGTCCGCTCCGTTTGACCGTCGGTTTCGGGGCGGTACGTTGAACTGAATTGTAGCCTGGTCCCGAATGTCAAAGTAACGAACGAGAATGATTGAACTAGCAAAGAGTTGGGTACAAGTACTAACCCTAATTGGGTTGTACCCCTTATGGGCGACCCCACTACAGCCTACACAAATGTATAAGCTATAATGTTCTGACACACCCCCATAGGAAAAGTGGGGGAGAACAAGTGTTCACAAGACCAGTCAAGAAAAGCAAAGCAAGCTCAGGGTGGATCACAAAGTCACCACACAGTCTGAGCACAAGCAGAGGGCCACAAGGCCAGTTCACATGCAGAGTTATATAAAGAGAACAAACAATACAGTGATCATACCCTAGCAAATGCAAGCATGCAGGTATATATATAGATAAGAATACAAGCAAAGTCACGCAGTAAGCAAGTGAAGCAAAGTAGGCACAAGGCCTAACACAGTAGAGAAACGCTGATGATCACCAGGCGGAAGTGCCTTGGTGAATATATCAACAGTGTTGGCCCTAGTGGCCACGTACGCAAGACGAAGCTGGCCACGCTGCTGCAACTCTTAAGCAAGGAAGTATCGCAGAGCGATGTGCTTCGTTCTGTGCTCTAGTCTGTGGTCCTGACACAAGGCAATCATGGCCTTGTTGTCTACGTACAGAACTGGAGGCGAACGAGGCTGCTCTCCCAAGTCGGTCAGCAGGTAGGTGAGCCAGTGTAGCTCCTGAGCAGCCATGGCCCCGGCTTAGATCTCAGCCTCACAACTGGAGCTGAGAACTGAAGACGAGTGGGTAGACCGCGAAGAAACAGAGCCGGAACCAAGGCTGAAGGTGTAACCCTGTGACGACCGCTGCGTAGCTGAGTCGTCCACCCAGGAGGCGTCTGCGTGACCGGCGAGGACAACTGGACCCCGTCCTCCAAGCACGAGCCCCATGCACGACGTACTGCACAAGTAACGCAGTACCCTCTTCGCAGCATCCCAGTGCACCTTTCGGTACCTGCCGGGAGCCACGTAGCGAGCCAGGAGGCTGAGAGGGTACGCGAGGTCGGGTCGAGTGCACGTCATCAGGTACATGAGGCAACCCACAAGCTCTGGGTACGGACCACTCGGCTCTACGGACTCGTCCGAAGGTGGAGCTGAGAGCGAGTGGCTGGTAGACAGAGGAGTGGGCTGTGGCGAGGAGAACTGGAAGCCGAAGCGCTGAAGGACCTGGTGCACCATGTGTGACTGAGTTAGGGTGATGGTGCGCCGAGCTCTGTCCCGGGTGATTTGCAAGCCAAGATAGCTGCGCAGTTCACCCAGGTCAGTGCAGGTGTGTCTCTTCTGCAGCTCCGACTTCACAAGTGTGAGTGCCTCAGTGTCAGCAGTGGCAAAGACGAGGTCATCGACGTAGACAAGGACGTAGAACTGTGGCAGCGAGGTGTCGGTGCATAGAAACAGCGACGGGTCAGCAGTAGAAGGAGCAAACCCAAGAGCCGCAAGTGTAGTCCTCAGTGTGTCGTGCCACTCGCGAGGCGCCTGGCGGAGACCGTAGACTGGCCGCTGAAGACTCCACTGAGTACCTGCAGGAAAAGACTCAGTGAAGCCAGGTGGGCAGCGCAACCAGATCTCCTCGTGCAGGCTGCCCTGCAGGAACGTTGTGCTGAAGTCCAGAGAGTGCAACTCGTAGTCACGCTGAGCAGCGACGTGCAGCAACACCCGAAGAGTAGTCATCTTCGGGGTGGGGGAGAAGGTCTGGAAGTAGTCAAATCCCTGTCGCTGACTGAAGCCTCGAGCAACGTAACGCGCCTTGAAGGCAGGCGGAGAACCCGGCGGCCGCTTCACCCTGAAGATCCACATGCCATCGACTATGTTCGCCCCAGGTGGGGGAACCTCGTCGACGTAGGTGCCTGTGGACTTTCAGGATGCCATCTCGGCATCCATGGCTGCCTGCCACTAAGAGGAGTAAGGACCCGTAATCGCCTCTGCGTAAGAGCGCGGGGTCGGGATTGTTAGAATATATCTGTAACTGCCTGTAGCTGTAGTTAGTGTAGTTATTATAAACTTGTTGGTGGTGCACATTCTTTGCATCCTATGTTTGCTATATGTACCCTAGTGCTATAGTGAACTTCATTCTCGTCTCTCTCTCCTTGGCACAAACCACCTCGACTCCCCTTGGCCTAGGCTACTAAGCCTAGGCCCTACCCTTACTATTCAACAGGGATGTCTGGTGCATCCGGGTCTCCCTCAGGGGCAAGCTGCATGGAAGCAAAACGAGGCACAGTAGCTGCAAGACACTCAAAGTCCTCCTGCCTGTCCTCAAGGACGTCCGTGCCAAGAGCACACTCACCCCCGACGGACGGAGGACTGGCAGACGCAGACTCATCAACAAGAGCAGTGGC